ATACAGCCCAATCATTGGCGAAAGGAAATGCTCAATGTCCGGAGAAGCACTCGATACCGACCCCGACCACTATACCCTCAATCGTTCGTCGTGTCGGAAGGTATCGATGAACTCTTATCATTCATTACCCGAGACTTTGTCTCATCGTGGTACCACAATATCAGTTCGAACCCCACATTTGCCAATGAGATTGATCGAACCATCCGTGTTGCTCTCGAAAACCTTCGGGATAGGTTGGTTGCAGAGGATCTGGTCTCTTTGGTAGTATCACGAGTCTTTCCTATCTTGACAACGCATCTCAAGGAATTTGACGTTGCTGAGCGCTCAGTTCGGGGGCGCAACTTGAATCGAAACGTGACAGAGTCCGAGGAACTAGATCTTGCCGTTGCAAACAAGTACCGCGAAGGTCGTTTACACCCAGCAGTTGCACTTTCATTATCAGACCAAAAGGCTGTTCAACAGGAGTATCTACGCAAGATAGCCGTGGGTCTCTTGCCTCAGTTGTTTCCAGAAAGCGTGTTGAAAAGCCGAATTGTATCTGTTTTGATTCGCGAAATCATATCTTGTGCCGTGCTTCTCCCTATAGTCACAGCCCTATCAGACCCAGACACATGGAATCAGTTGGTGGAAGCCTATGGCCGCACGGCTTTGCAGGATCGGAAGACCGTTCGCAAGCTGCGGGCCGCCCTGGATCAACATGCATCGCCTGCACCCAAATCTAAACGAGGTCAGCCATTCCCTCGACTATCTGCAAATGATTCAGAACGAGCGTTTGAGAGATTTGTCAGAGCAATTAGGAAATGTAACAATCTCTCTGATGCACGCCGATTTCGTGCCCTCGTTACCAGTCAATTGAAGCGAGAGAGCACAGTTGAAGGACAAGATCAAGTCTACTTGAGCCGTCTGGAAACAGGCAAAAGAGTGCTTGACCAAAAAGTGGCAAAGCTTGCTCAACCTGGCGGGGGAGGCCACGTCCCCCCGGCCCTCGATCTTCGACCGGAGAGGCCTCTTTCCACCCATGAAACATCACTAGTGGATGTGATGCACAATGCATCTGGGCTCTCCTATTTCATGGAGTTCATGGACCGACAAAAATTGATGTCCCTTGTCCAATTCTGGGTCGTTGTCGATGGGTTCCGCAACCCTTTGGAAGATGACTTCGGAGAGGTAACTTCGCCCACCTCAGTGACATGGAAACCAGCGGACAGGAATGATCTGGCGCTCATCAGTGAAACCTATCTGTCAAAACCAGAGCTCAAGGTCTCTGACGAATCTCGCCGAGCAGTCAAAGCATTCTTGGGCGCAGGGAAGCGCGCGACCTCGGAACAATACCGCAAAGCACGAATGGTGGTGTTGACCACCCAGTCTGCCGTTTTGGAGCACCTCCAAGAGGTTTATTATCCAAAATTCAAAGAGTCTGATCTATACTGGAAGTATCTTGCGTCCGATGAAGCGGCCAATGCTCAGGCACCGGTTCGCCAATCCTCTCCGATATCAGTTACCTTTGAAGCGCCCGAGAGGCGACCTCTTCCGCCTTTATTGTCGCGAACCTCCTCTCAGCCGGGTATGAGACCTTCCAAGGATCTTCGCCGAGCTGCCGTCTCTTCCAGTGATGTGCGAGGTATGGGCAAATTGTTCGATGACGACGATTCACCTCGAAGATCCATAGACTCAGAACGATCTGCTCCTCTTTTTGACGACGACTACGACACGGATCATCTTGCCACATCTACCCACAGTTTGGGTAAAGATTCTCAGAATGGCGAGAATGATGCCAGTCAAAGCCAGGTCCTCGAGACAATGGAGGCGGCGCTAAATGATATCATTACCAATGAACCGAAAAACGGAAAGATAGAAGATCTCAAAGGAGATTCTTCCGGATTATTCGGACCAGAGCGTCCTATCATTTCCCCTCGCAATTCTTCCGAAATTCCTCAAATGGAAGGTCGCGGAAACGAAAAGATGCGGAAAAGTATCGCGTCGCTTGGCCTGGTTGATCATGCATCCCGTATGGGCGTATTTGATGACGACTTGTTCGCGGATCAGCAGAAATTCATCGAGGATGAATACGAAGAGCCAGAAGGCGCCGACGAGAAGGATCTAGCCGATGAAGTTCACGAAGCTGCACCGGGTGACCTTGGTCTGACGGAAGCGATTGAGGCGCTCTCTGTGGACATTGACAAACTGGCATCTCAAGATTCTGTGGTCGAAGCATTGACTCGAAAGGCTGAATTGACAAATAATACAGCTGAGCTGAGGATCCTGCGGAAGTCTAAAGCTAGCATCCAGCGTGAAATGCATCGCAAGGAAATGCAAAGACAACAGTACATTCTTCAGGAAAGTGATAACAGCTTGTTTGGGCGATCCACTGTCAGCCTCAAGTCTACTGTTGTAGGCAAAGAGGAGGATGATGGCCGTGAATTTGCAATGTGTAAGATGACTCTTGAATGAACCTCAGTTCCAGGCTAATCATACATCAGACATCGTGGAGGTTCAAAGAAATGCTGGTGAACAGATGCCTGCAGCATCTTGGGTTGTAGCACGGCGATACAGCGAATTCCACGATCTTCACCAAAAGCTTCGCCAACGCTATCCCTCTGTGCGTCACTTGGAATTCCCTCGGCGGCGCGTCGTCATGAAACTACAAAAAGAGTTCCTACACAAGCGGCGACTCGCGCTCGAATCATATTTGCGAAATCTTCTCCTTCTACCCGAAGTCTGCCGCAGCCGTGATCTGCGAGCATTCCTATCCCAACGCGCAATCCTCCCTCACAAAGAGAACGCCACCCGCGACAACGAAGGTGAAACGAAAGACCTAGTCACACGAATCTACAACTCCGTCGCAGACGGAATGGACGACTTCCTCGGCAACTTTGGCGTCCTAGATCAGCTTTCAACCGCAGGTCAGAACCTCATCTCAGCCGCAACCCAACAAACAACCAGCACCGTAACCCCAGACTCGAGTCTCGCAACCGAAGATGCAGTCACTGCCGCTGAAGCAGAGGCAGAACTCAACGCTTTCGAAGACCGCGAGCTCGAGCCCTTCATCAAGCCAATCTGTGACCTCTTCCTCGAAGCCTTTGAGTTGAACCGCGGCAACAATTGGCTGCGCGGTCGTGCCGTTGTTGTCGTGCTGCACCAGCTCCTTGGCGGGACTATAGAGCGCAAGGTTCGCGATGGGGCTCGCGGGTTGACGCAGGATGACTCGCTTCTGCGGTATCTCGCGCTCGCTCGCGATACCATGTGGCCTGGTGGTATTCTCCGCAAAGTCCCACCACGCTCAGCCGTCGACCGGCTCAAGAGCCGCGCTGAGGCGACGGTGGTATTGGCTACTCTCATTCCGGACTTGGCCGGTAATGTCGTCGGTAGAGCGAATGCTCAGGCTGCTGCACGGCGGGTCTTCGCAACGCTCAATAACCAACCCCTTAACGCTCATCTCGTTTTTACGATGCTCGATGAGATTGTGCTGGTTTTATTCGGCGCTAATCCTGGCCGTGCTCGTTGAGTGATCGCCGCTCTAATTGACTGGATAATGATTCCTGAGGTTTCTACTTTCTTCTCATTCATGGTACAATGGCGTTACGACATTTTTCGTTCTCCCTTTCGAGCCTCTCGGCGAAACTACCCATGACTCGTTTCCTTGCTTTGCTGCCGTTTTATTATGAGCGCTGTATATACTTCATTACACACAAACATGCTCCCTACATAGCATTCACACCATAATCACGCCAACATCACCAATATTTCCACTTCATTCTCTATATGAAAATATAATCACCACGCCCATCTATAAAAACAGTTTCCACATCGATCAGTCTCCACCCAGCCCTCGCGTCCTGAATATATTGCTCAGCAAGCGCAACAGCCCGCTGCAACACATCGTGGTCGGTTAATTCAGGTGTCCTATCTACTCCCACCGAGTAACACCATGATAAATAAACATTTTTAGGATACGAGGAGATGATCCCTCGTCCGGCTCGGATGTACTCCGCTACTCGTGTCATTAGTGCTGGTTCGTCGAGGACCGAATCCCACCGGCTGAAATGCACTGTTACCCAGTTTATGGAGGCTGTGCGGTAATTGTCGCGGTTGGAGTGGGAGTCTCTGACCCTTTCTGCTGATATATAGCGGTGTGGGTTCCTTTTGTTGCATAGGTTGCATGCTTTGTGTGTGTTGGATTGACATGCGTCCATCTTGGTTGGTGGTTAGTGGATGTTGGTAGCTATCAGGGGTGGGTGTGATTAGGTGACTGTAGGCTGTAGATTGCTTATATACTTTATCTTGTTTCGAGACATGCCGTTCCGAGGCTTGGAATAAGGGCCTTTGTTTGTATTTGGGCTGTGCTTGAGTTGGATGTGGATTGTAATCGCTGCTTGAAGAGGCAATGGTGAGTGTGTCCTTTGTTTGCTTTATTTTAAAGTCTCATGTTAAAACGTCAAAGGATACGCCGGTGGGGATACACCTCTTTCACCTCGTGGTACAATCCTGGACCTAGGGCTAAGCCGGTGGTATAGGGAGATGGGCGTTCACCACAGTATACTACACAGGACTCGATCGAGTCTGTGACTGGCACTCTACACATACTCTAATGTTACGCAGTAACTACTAAGAAAAGAGCCCTCAGGGATTAAATGATTCGATCTCCACTGGGATAAATGAGCGAACGGTACAAAGACCGGTCAACCCAGGGTAGATATTTAAGACTAGCCAGCCGAGATGACCGACAAATAAAGAATAAGATAAAAGCAAAATACAAGACTGATTCCCCTCGCGCCGTCTTAATTCTTGTTTCTACAAGGAAACGCAGTGAACGCAGAGCAGCCGAACGGGACTGGAACTGTGGGATCAATCAACAGAACGAGATATCAAGTCGAGGGGAGTCAATAGTCCCCGGGGTCCATTATCATGATCAGTAAGGAATGGCGGAAAAAGAGACCCTTGAAGGCATTCGGTGACGGTGTCCATACTGATATGAGAGGCCTGGGTCGGTGGAGGGCAATCTATGCCTCTTCCTTGGCCTTCTTCTTGGACTTCTTGCTTGGCTGTTGTGCTTGTCCTTCCTTCTTCTGGTGTACAAGCAGACGTGTCCAGCACTCATCCTTGTCCCACTCGAAGCCAGCGAGGTAGGGCTTGTCCAGTTCGTCATCCGCCTAGCGGGGTTGCGTCAGCCATCTTGAACATGTCCTTTGTTTGGCCGTAGAGGATTACTTGCCTTCTTCTTGAATTGTTTGTAGATGGCATCCAATGCATCCTTAATCGTGACGCCCTTGAGATTCCGAGCGGTGACCACTAGGCCTAGGGGGAAGTGCAGGTCAATCTTCTTGACCGGAGGATTGACGAGGTACAGCTTGAGGATATCTTTGTCCTCGATGGAGTTTGGGGAGGTGTTGAGTTTCCTTCGATGAGTCCGTCAGTGATGGATAGGATAATGAGGATATGGGAGAGCTAATTACCATCCCGTCTTTTGTGTTTCGATGGGAAGGGTGATTTCGATGCCTTGCTCTTCTATCAAGTTGTCAGTCAGGGTGCAGTCCGAAGATGGAAGAGTCCTCACCAAGGTCCTTGATGTTCCAAATGCCTTCTGACGTTGAGGAAGTCCGCTTGTGGTCCTTCTTGAGGCCCTTCTTGACCTCCTTCTCGTTGGCAATGGGCTTTTCATCAGATATGGACAAGCCAGCGATGGCAGAGTCGACTTTGGTTAAAGGAACAGACATGATTGCGTTGAGTGTATCTTGTAGCGATGGGCAGAAGATGGGAGAGAGAAGACGAGAGAGAGAGAGAGAAAGAGGGGAAGCCCTGGAGAGCAGGTGACCTGATGACCTGATTGTGAGAGGGGGTGCAGTCATGGATGTCATGGTACATACTGGGCACAGTATGTACATTCGATCATTCTAGTACTTTATTACTTATTACTTGATTAGTTTATTAGTTTATTGCTTTACTAGTTCTATTAGTTCTACTACTTTTTATTACTTTATCTCCCTCATTTTTCATACTTCTTGGTCTACCCTACTACAACACTATCTCTCCACTATGTCGGCCCCTTCGGATACATTCCAGTGGACTGACATCAACATCAGAGCGGAGCCAATCTTAGCGCTGCACCCCGCATTTTCTCCACTTCTTAATGTCGATCGACTGCTTAAACTGTTTTATATTTACCTTTTCACTCGACTTTGTAGTAATTTATGGCCTTATCATACGATTCAATTGGCCTATCCCGTGTTCCATGATCACCTGATCTATCATGCCACTCTGCCCTCTCCCCTTCCCCTTCCCCTTCCCCTTCCCCTTCCACTTCCACTCCCACTCCCACTCCCACTTCCACTTCCCGCCTGCATTCTTAGCTGCTGCCGCCCTTTTCCCATTCGTAAATCATACCCACCTCCTACATGACTATTCGGCTGCATCTTCACTAGCTGTGTCCACTTCATTTTTCATAGTGGTGGCGCCCCCCTTGTAACAAACTCAATCCTTTGAGAGAATACGAGAATATTCACGATTAGCTCGGGGGTTTCAGACCTCGTAAGTGGAAGCCGGAGAGGATGGCGTAAGCATTCAATTAGCTTCTTCACCTTCCACCTTAGTTCGTTGGATGGGGGAGCGCCGGATAAAGCAGCAGTTCATTGTATTTGTCGGCTGTACTCCCAAGGTAGCCGCTCCTTTGATAGGTCGCGTGCTCATCAGCCTGCATCTATACCCAATGTACAGAGTATTGGCTTGGTCAATGAGTCGATCATTCCATGACACGGAATGATCCTAGTTGCTTTCTTTTTTAATTTGGGGTATTTCGAAGTATTCAAAGATATGGATTTGAATCTAGAGAGATTAAAGTCGTCCACTCTACAGTCTTGGCAGACTAGACAGATAGTAGACATATAGAATATGTTACAGTGTATTCAAATCGAACAGCCTTTGTCAATTTACATGACTCAAATTTGATGAAACGATAGAAGAACCAGCAGGTCTCTGATCGAGGTCTTATACTGCAGCAGCTCATGTTTTAGATCGGGTTCAGTTGGAGAAATCCATAGTATTGCGACATGATCATGAATTGTTAACCGTTGGACCAAATCATCTCGAGTGCGTTTCTGGCCCTATGTCAGCCATAGACTACACAAGCATAACAGAGGTGGAATCTCAACTAGACATTACTGAAACGGAGAACTACAGTCCGACAATGGTGCCTAGTGGCTAAGAATATGCCTCTATGACACAAACAGGCAATGGTTTCAGTATTTCTTCGTCAAAAGACCACCAGATACACATATTAGCCAATGGAAAGTAACTGTCAATTCAAAACACGCGAAATAGACCACAATTCGTATCAAATGCGAGTTCACAGGCTGAGGTAGGCAGAAGGCGGTGAGTCATGTTTTTTGCCGTCATCGCGCATCGCTTTCTGCGATCGAGCTCCAATTATCACGACTCTCCTACTTCTTTCTTTCCCCATTGAGCTCGAGTTGCCTTTCTCTTTTGCATGCCCCCCAAGTGTGAACTCAGTTTCACCTTGAATTACAAGAACCCGTTTTTCTTTTGCTGATTCCTCGACTGAGCCACATCTCTCGCGCCCTTTCAGATGTCACTTTTCAATGTCGGCGGCGGCACCGCTGCCGCGGCGGGCGCGACAAACACCACGGGTGATATCTCCAAGGATGTCGCTCTGAACCAGCCCCCCGAGGATGGCATCTCGGATCTCCGTTTCTCGCCTGCTAGCGACCACCTCGCCGTGGCCTCGTGGGATAAGAAAGTCCGCATTTACGAAATCAACGACCAAGGCCAGAGTGAAGGGAAGGCGCTTTTCGAGCACGAAGCTCCTGTTTTGAACTGCTGTTGGTCTCCGGTAAGCTTGCATCCATATGGTATCCCTATCAACCCAAATTTGGTGCACTTTAACTGACATCTTTTTTTCTTTTCAGGATGGAACCAAGGTGGTCGGTGCCGGTGCCGACAAGGCAGCCCGCATGCTCGACCTCGGAGCAGGCCAGACAACCGCCGTTCAGGTTGCCGCGCATGACGCGCCCATTCGAAGCTGCCACATGATCCCCAATCCCTCCGTGGGCGGCCAACCACTCTTGATCACCGGCTCGTGGGACAAGACCGTCAAATACTGGGATCTGCGTCAATCTACACCAATCGCCTCGGTCGAGTGCCAGGAGCGCATCTACACCATGGACGTCAAGAACAAGCTGCTGGTCATCGGTACCGCAGACCGCTACATCAACATCATCAACCTCGACCAGCCTACCAAATTCTACAAGACCATGCAATCCCCCCTGAAGTGGCAGACGCGGGTAGTCAGCTGCTTCGCGGATGCTTCGGGCTTCGCTGTCGGCTCGGTCGAGGGTCGTTGCGCCATCCAGTACGTCGAGGAGAAGGACTCGGCCTCGAACTTCTCGTTCAAGTGCCACCGTGAGACTCCTCCCACCCAGCGTGACGTCTGCAATATTTTCTCCGTCAACTCTATCACTTTCCACCCGGTCCACGGTACCTTCAGCACCGCTGGCTCCGACGGCACTTTCCACTTCTGGGACAAGGACGCCAAGCACCGTCTCAAGGGTTACCCGGCTGTTGGTGGTCCTATCACGACTACCGCCTTCAACCGCACTGGAAACATCTTCGCTTACTCGGTCAGCTACGACTGGAGCAAGGGTTACTCCGCCAACACTCAGCAGACTACCAACAAGGTCATGCTGCACCCTATCGGACCTGATGAAACTAAGCCGCGACCAAACACGCGGAAGCGTTGAGCTTTCGTCTTTTTTCTTTTCTTTGGATGGGGAGGAGGACTTGTCCCTGGACGGTTTTATTATCCATCACTACAACGAGCATGTAATGAAATTCTTACCATATCGGCGTGTATTGATTAAAGAGTGCAAATGGGATTTTTCTAGCCTGGCTACATTATCAAGCAATAGCAAGTGTCCACGGTTGTACCTCAGTCCAAGTAAAGTGTAGTATCACCTGTAGCTATAGTCCAGTAGCCACCAGGGCTTAGGCTAAATCTACATTGGATGGTTGAATGTCATCTCTAAAAACATAACACCTTCATTGCATTCATGTATGTAGCGTAGCTACTGTAGAAAAAGGAAGAATTGCCCAAGATCCGAGTAAATATCCCAAAGATCCCATGAACAATGCATAAATCTCTCATACGCGGCTTCAGTATGAGACAAACTAAAATGAAAATGAAAATGTCAAGCCGTCAGACATCAGACATCAAAAGACACTCCCCTGCACTCCACTCAACACACTTTTCTGTAGTCTAGTAACTTTCTTCCACTCTACGATGTAGGGAGAGTAACCTGAGCCACGCCATCAGTAACCTTCTCCACGGCCTCGTCATTCTTGCCATCGGTAGTGGCGGAGATCTTTTCCGCTCCACCCTTGGCAGAAGACTCGACACCGCCGGCCTTGCCCTTGTCCTTCTTCTCCTTCTTCTTGGCCTTGGCGGCGGCCTTCTTAGCGGCGATCTTGGCAGCTTCCTCTTCCTTCTTCTTGCGGTCTGCCTGCGATCCACCGAACATCTCGCGCCACTCCTCGGCCTTCTTGGGGTCAATGCGCGAGAAGAGGTACTGGGCCTTGCCGATCTTGTGGCCGGCTTTGAGGGCGGTGGGCTTCCAGCCGTCCTTGAGTTCGTCAAGGGTGGGGATGTACTGGAAGGGTGCGTCGAGCTGCTCCAGGATCGACTTGGAGGTTGCGGGCATGTAGGGCGAAAACACACTGGAGAGCAGATAGATAAGGTTCAGGACTGTGCCGACAACTGCGGCGGCGAGCTCAGGCTCGTTGGCGATGAGTGCGTTGTCTAGACGGTTGGCTTGGATTAGGCCGTTTCCTGCTTCGGCGATCTTCATAGCGGTTTGAACACCGGCGCGCAGGTGAGCGCCTTCCATCTCATCGATGTATTGGCGGAGGAGGGTGGTGACTTCTTCCTGGAAGGGAGCGAAGCTCTCGGGGACGGTAAATTCGGGAATGACGGAGCCGTAGGAGGCAGCAACGAGCTTGATGACTCGGTTGACGAGGTTACCCAACTTGGCGAGGAGCTCGCTGTTGTTGCTCTCCACGAAGGGACGCCACTCGAACTGGGTGTCACCAGTCTCAGGACGGTTCTTCAGCAGGAAGTATCGCCACACATCGGCGGAGACACCAGTCTCTTTGGCGTTTGTGCCGAAGACACCCACACCGCGGGACTTGCTGAACTTGCCGCCCTCGTAGTTGAGGTACTCTGTCGTGCTCAAGTGGTGCAGCATGGTCCACTTGTCCCTGGTACCGATCTGAGTACCAGGGAAGATGACACTGTGGAAGGGCACGTTGTCCTTGCCCAGGAACTGCCACAGCTGGACATCCTCCGGGTTGCGCCACCAGAGCTCCCAGTCGGGAGTGTAGTTGGCTGTAATGGAGGGGTATCCAATACAAGCCTCGAACCATACGTAGAGCACCTTGTTCTCGTAACCGTCCAGAGGGACGGGGACACCCCACTTCAGATCACGGGTGATACCACGATCCTTCAGACCCTCCTTCAACCAAGACTCGGTAATGATGCGCGAGTTCTTGGGCCAGTTACCCTTCTCAATGGCAGGGTGGACCCACTTCTCAATCTCCGGTTGGAGCTTGTCGAGAAGGATGTGAATGTGTTTCGTCTCACGGCGGACGGGGGCAGCTCCGTCGAGCTTGCAGCGCGGGTTGATCAGGTCAAAGGGATCGAGGAGGTGAC